TCTTTGTTTTACTATGGTTGCAAAGATCAAAAAATTTCTATATGTGACACGGCACCAGAGTTAAGTTAGGGTTTTTCAAAATGCTGACACGCCGAGCTCAAAACGTTCGCCATCACTGAGCTAGGGCCATAACTGCTTTTTTTTTTGAAGGGTAATTATGCCTCACTGACTCCCTGTTCCTGCCATTGATAACCTTCCTAGAGGTTATCTCTCTCTCTCTCGCCTTCTCTCTCTCTCCCCCTTTCCTCTCGCTCTTTTCTCTTCCTGTTGGTCAGCTGAGCTCACAGTGACCCAACCTGGACAAACTCGAGAGGCGCCTTCCTGCGCATAGAGAACCTCCTCTCCCCGAGGAGAGGCAGCTGTGCCCCAGGAGGCGGCTCAGGCCCAGGAGCAGGGCCTTCCCTGGCGGGCGGGGCTGAGAGCTGCTGGTCCCCGTCACCCTTCAGTCCTGTCCTGTAGCCCATTGAGCAACAAGGACTAACTCTCACCCAGAGCTTCCACGTGCCAGGCAGCTTCCTGAGCATTTTCCATATCAGCCCTTTTCATCCCCAAGCAACTGCCGAGGCAGGGAGCAGGCTTCCCCGTTTTGCACCCGGGGAGACTGAGGCACAGGAGAGTGAGGGGGTTCCCCCGGGTCCACCCCGCTAGCAGATGGCCAGGCCGAGGCAGACGAGGCAGTGTGGCTCCAAGCCGGACCCCAGTGTGGCGTGAGGAAGGCGGGGCCCCAGCTGTGTGGGCTGGGGTGGTAGGATCCTCCTCAGCTGTCCCCACAAGCTTCTGTCTCCTCGTCCCTAGAGGGGAGCTCAGAGTTGGGGGCCAGGGAGTGAAGCTGGCGCATCTCCGGGGCCCTTGGCTGCCAGATCCCTGACTGGCCGTTGGTCAGACACGTCACCCTGAGGGTCTTGTCTGCAGAGCAAGTGAGTGTGGTTTCTCTGGGTTTCCTGCTGGAAGCTGGGGGTCATGGCCACGGTGTCCTGTCCCTCCTCCAGCTCAGTTTGCCCAGCTGGCCCAGGTGAACCCGCAGGAGCGTCTGAGCCGGGAGACAGCCCTGCAGCAGAAGCAGGTGTCCCTGGAGGCCTGGCTGCAGCGCGAGGCCCAGACGCTGCAGCAATACCGCGTGGTGAGTGGGTGTGCGTCCCTCTCCTCCAGGCCTGGGGTCCACATCCTGAGCTCTCGGGGACCGAGAGAGGGATAGGCCAGGGCCCCGGGGGGCAGGAGGCCTGTGGGGGCCTGAGAGGCAGAGCAGGTCGGGGGGAGGCCCTGCCTCCTGAGCGAGGCCCTGCAGGGTTGTTCCCCGGGAGCCAGAGGGCCTGCTCCCCTCCCTCAGGAGCTGGCCGAGAAGCACCAGAAGACCCTGCAGCTGCTGCGCAAGCAGCAGACCATCATCCTGGATGACGAGCTGATCCAGTGGAAGCGGCGGCAGCAGCTGGCCGGGAATGGGGGGCCCCCTGAGGGCAGCCTGGACGTGCTGCAGTCCTGGTAATGGGGGGGGAGGGGCAGGGGCAGGCAGGGATGGGAGCCTGGGCTCAGGGTGGTCTACCAGCTGCTTACTCTGCTCCCGAGTTTCCATGTGCAGCCGCTCGCTCTGTCCTGTGACAGGTCTTACTTCACCAGTGGTCTGGTTCCCGGCACAGACTTTGATGCCCCCGTCATGCCCCCTCCCTGGGAAGGAGTCACTGTGTTGGGGGTGGGGCTCTGGGCTGATGCTCGGCTGGTTGGGTACAAATCAGGGTCACGCCTCCTGCGTGTCTGTGTTTCTGGAAGTCAGGCAGCCCCTGTCCTGCTCTGCTCAGTGGACAGGAGTGGGCGCTGAGGTGTAGAGCCTTCCTGGGGGAGCGTGGGGCTAGGTCTTGGGGGGCTCACCCCAGACTGGGAGCCTCTTCACCTTTGGCCTGGGGGAGGGTGAAGGCCTGTCCTTTCCTTTGGCCCCGGGGCTGGGGTGCAGGTGTGAGAAGTTGGCCGAGATCATCTGGCAGAACCGGCAGCAGATCCGCAGAGCTGAGCACCTCTGCCAGCAGCTGCCCATCCCCGGCCCCGTGGAGGAGATGCTGGCCGAGGTCAATGCCACCATCACAGACATCATCTCCGCCCTGGTGACCAGGTGACTGCTGCCTCTCGGCCACGCCCAGCCCCGCATGTGGTTGGCCTGGGGGAGGCAGGGGTGCTTTGCAGATGGGGGGGCTCTCACTGGCACCCTTGTCTCTCTCTGCTCACACCCTTTCCCTTCTGTCCCCAGTCGCCGTTGACCTTTCCCAGTTTCTCTTGTGAGCGCTACCTGGGCTGCCCTTGCTTCCTGCAGCCCCGTGCCAGCTGCCGAGTTCACTTCCCTGCCTCCCCTCCCGCCTCCCCGCGGCTCTCAGTGGCCTCCCTGGGAACAGGGTCTCGGCCACGTGCCCTTCCCCTGCCTGCCGAGCCCTGTGTGCGGCCTCCTCCCCACACGGGGGACCAGAGCCCTGTGCCCTGAGGCAGCATCTCGTCCCTTGGGTCCCCGCAGCACGTTCATCATTGAGAAGCAGCCCCCTCAGGTCCTGAAGACCCAGACCAAGTTTGCAGCCACCGTGCGCCTGCTGGTGGGGGGGAAGCTGAACGTGCACATGAACCCCCCCCAGGTGAAGGCCACCATCATCAGCGAGCAGCAGGCCAAGTCGCTGCTCAAGAACGAGAACACCCGCAAGTACGTGCGTCCTTCCTGTGTCTCGGCCCCTTTCCCCGAGGCCTGGCCGTGGGATGGAGGGATCCTCCTCAGAAGGGTCCTATGTGGTGGCCCTGGCAGCCCTGCTGGCCTCTCTGGCTCTCAGAGAAAGAGCAGAAGGGGTTCTTCTGTGAAGATAGTATGATACGGTTTCACTTAGTAGGAATTCACTTAAGAAAACTTTTGTATATTTTATGTATATTTATTTCTTGTATGTTTTATGGAGCCAACATTTCTTCTAAATGACGTAAATTTTTATTTTTTAAATATATTTTTATTGATTTCAGAGAGGAAGGGAGTGGGAGAGAGGCAGAAACATCAGTGATGAGAGAGAATCATTGATTGGCTGCCTCCTGCAGGCCCCCCACTAGGGATCAAGCCCGCAACCCAGGCATGTGCCCCTGACCGGAATCGAACCTGGGACCTTTCAGTCCTCAGTCTGACTCTCTATCCACTGAGCCAAGCCAGTCATGGCATGACATAAGTTTTTAAATACCTTCTGTGGTTCCTCCGACCCCGAGCATATCTCTGCCCGCTGTGAGCCGAGACCCTGCGTGGGTTTAGAGTTGCGTCTCTCTCTGATTTGCAGTGAGTACAGTGGGGAGATCTTGAACAACTGCTGTGTGATGGAGTATCACCAGGCCACAGGCACGCTCAGCGCCCACTTCAGGAACATGGTGAGGACGGAGGGAGGGGAAGAACAGATTCTCCCCGCTTGTCTGAGGACCTGGTCACCTGAACGTTCTCCTTTGCAGTCCCTGAAACGCATCAAGAGGTCTGACCGTCGTGGGGCAGAGTCAGTAACCGAAGAAAAATTCACAATCCTGTTTGAATCACAGTTCAGTGTTGGTGGAAATGAGCTGGTCTTTCAAGTCAAGGTAAAGCCCTCCCTCAGCAGTGTGTCCGTGAGCACTTTATGTCACACAAGAACTGTTGGGGTCACATAGTCCCTTTTTAAAAAATTTTTATTGATGAACAGAAAGTGAGGACGGATATTTGTTACTTGCTCTCCCCGCCCCTTGCACACACACCCCAAAATGTCTCCATACTCCCTCTTTAAACACACACACACACACACACGCACACATATACATATATACATACACACACACACACACACACACACACACACACATATAACTTTTTAAATTTTATTATCCTGCTCAAGGCTTGTGATTCGAGAAAGGGAGAGATAGAAGCATCAATGATGGAATAAAATCATTGATCGGCTGCCTTCTGTACGGCCCCCTACTGGGGATCAAGCCCACAACCCAGGCATGTGCCCTGTCCTGGAATGGAACTGTGATCTCCTGGTTTGTGGGTCGATGCTCAACCACTGAGCACACCGGCCGGGCCGTACTCTCTCTTCTCTCTCTCGTTCTCTGTGTAACTTAGAGAACTTATTCCATCCTTCAGAAATACCTAATGAAACCTCTTTTACCATATCTGAAATGTCTAAGATTTTGCCAGTGTGGAGAAGTCATATTATTCCCGGAGCCATTCACATTCTGTGTCCCAGGTGACACTTACTGAAGCTTGAAGAATGAACATGTTGTGATTGAAAAGAAGAAAAGGGGAAGAAGTGTGGCTTGTGGGCGCTCAGCCCTTCTGTGTCTTTGCAGACCCTGTCCCTCCCGGTGGTGGTGATTGTCCACGGCAGCCAGGACAACAACGCGACGGCCACGGTTCTCTGGGACAATGCTTTTGCGGAATCTGTGAGTTGATCCCTTGGGCCTGCGGGTCTCAAGATCTTGATGCTGGTGTCATGAATCTCTTCCACGTGTTATCCCCAAAAGAGCATAGAAAAAAAAAATGCTGTTCTTGTTGGCGGGAGGCAGAAGGGAGTGTGTGTAGGAAATGGAAAGAGGGTGGGCTTGACGCCAGGCCAAGGTTTCAGGGCAAGCTGCCCCATGTCCTCACTCTGTGGCTGTGGGAAATTCACTTTCCCTCTCTGAGCTCAAGGCCCCTAAGTGTCTACAACCTGGGATCATAATGCTCCATCGTGTCGTTAGGAAGATAAACTACATAACATACAAAATGCTTGTCTCAGACTCCATGCTCAGGAGATTTTGTTTTGAATCCCTGGGTGAAACCATACGTGGAAGTTGGGGCTCCCAGGTTCCTTCTGGAGGCGCGACCTCTCAGGAGGTGCCTTTAGCTCAGAAGTTGCTTCCTGTCATCCTCCTTCCAATAAATGAGGGTGACATTTAGTTGCCAAATGTTAGGTTCTGTGATTCGTCCCAGGTCTCTCATGAAGAGTGAGATGGTTTGCCTAAGGGTGAAAACACGATTTTATGGGTTTATGCACCCAAATGCTCTCTGAATGCCACTGGCGTGCTGCCTGCGGAGCATTTCCACACCATTCAGTAGGCCCAGTTCTACGTGTATTTCCAGTAGAGGTTAGTCTGTAACAGCATGATTAGAGGGTTCTAGTTGTTACTTGGGACATAAAAGTATGTTCTTCTCTACTGGGAACAGTCTTACATTCTCAACAGTTTTCTCTACAGAACCATATATTTGCTGCAGAGGTGAGATTCTTATCAGAAATTCTGCTGTGCTGTGCTACAAACCCTGAGTTTGAGGCTCCTTTTGAAAACCATCTGCCTATATCTTGTCCTGATAAGCCTGCTGGATAGGATTGCCACATCTCTCATCTCCTTCTCTGCCTGTCCACAAACCTCACTCCCCCGGCCACTTTGGCATCCCCTGCAACATGTCATTGCTAAAGTATCTTGTCTAAATATATAAGCATTTTTAAAAACATTTTCAGAATGTTAGGGTGCATTTATTTCATGCTGTTTTAAAATAAATACATACTTATGGGAATTTATAGATACATCTGTATATATGTCATGATATAAGCATATTGCAGCGTTGCTTAGCTAAAGGTTGAAGGCTGACACATAGATGTCCATATATGGGAGTCTGGTTGAATATATTATTATTCTTCCATTAACGTTAACTGCTTTTGTTGCAAGATTACTTTAACATACACTTTAGTGAGTACTTATTATTTACTGAGGCCAATACTAATTATGGGAAGCACAAATGTATATTCATGACAAAGCTGCAGATAATACCAGAGCCTGTGTAAAATCTTAAGGGAAACACAAGTACTAATTTTGAGAAACACAGATGTATAACCCTGACGTAGCTACTTGTAATACAGTGTCCTGTCCATATCTATCCTATATAATAAAAGGCCAAGGACCATAAGTGTAATGACCAGAATGACCACTCAACCAGTCGCTATGAGGTGCATTGACCATCTTTTGGTCCCTCCTACCCCTGGCCTGCGAGCGGCGGCTGGAGGCGGCGGGCAGGGCGGCTGGCGGCCGAGCTACGCATGCATGATTTCGTGCGCTGGGCCTCTAGTATATATAAAAAGCCTAATATACAAAAAGTGTCCCCTCAGGAGTTCGATCGCTCGCTATGACATGCGCTGTCCACCAGGGGGCAGCGTGGAACGAAGGGAGGCCACGGCTGGTGGCCCGCAGCCGCTAGGGACCATACCCGTGCACAGATTTCGTGTACTGGGCCTCTAGTTGTAGAATATATAGCAGCCACAAACGAAAATGAGGAATTTCTTTACATGCTGATGTGAGATCTCCCGGGTATAGTATTCAGTGAAAAAAGGGAGATGCAGGACATGTGGATTTTAGGCTTCCAGCTGGCATTTTTTTAAAAGGAAAAATTGTGTGTATTTGCAGGCCAGCATAGAATAGCTTTAGAGGTGTAAACAAGAAACTACATCACATGCCTTTGGGAAGAGGAACTGGGTTGCTAGGGGACAGGAATAGGAAAGAGACTTCACTATATAACTTGCTGTACTTTAAAAATTTTATATCACGTGAAGGAATTGCCTACTCAAAAGTATTTTTGTGGTAATTAAAATGAAGTACTATGGCTGAATGGAATGAAAAACAGTTTATTACAAATTCATATTCTCACCTGTTTTTAATAAAGCTAACTCATAGTTACTATTCTTCCTTACGTTGTTTCACTTTGAGCCAGAGTTCTTTCTTGGCAGAAGTTGTCAACGACAAGGATTACACTTGTGCACACACTTGTATGAGCGTACACACACACACACACACACAGTCTCTCTCTGTCTCTCTGTACCTAGAGAATCAGTGTTTTAGCTTTCTGTTCCCATTGAGTTTACAGCCAGACCTCGGTCATGTTTTGTTTTAGTGGCTGTGAGGATGTGATGTAGGGTTGGACCGTTTACAGGACACTGTCGGTAGCACGAGGCTGCCCTCTATATTGTGTGCAAAGAAGGTAAAATGAAGCTTCCGAGTTTCCAGAACTGCACACCCCATGGAAGTTTGAATTTATCCTCAGACTCAGTCAGACAAACGTTTGTAACGCCACCCCGCCACCCAGTGTCTTTCTTTTGTGGGTTGAGGAAATAAATCATGCAACTGTTCTCTCAGAAGGCTCTGGCTTCTCTCCTCCTCAGGGCAGGGTGCCCTTTGCCGTGCCTGACAAAGTGCTGTGGCCGCAGCTGTGTGAAGCGCTCAACATGAAATTCAAGGCCGAAGTGCAGAGCAACCGGGGCCTGACCAAGGAAAACCTCGTGTTCCTGGCGCAGAAGCTGTTCAACAGCAGCAGCAGCCACCTCGAGGACTACAACAGCATGTCCGTGTCCTGGTCCCAGTTCAACAGGGTGAGGGCCACCGCCCCCCGCCCCCCCTCCTCCAGCTGCTGGGAGGGAGATCAGTCCCTTCCAACCAGACGCCTGCAGGAGCTTCCCTTCCCCGGCCCTCGGGCTTCCTGTCTCTAATAAAATGCGCCTGAAGCAACAGGAAGCTCCTGAATAGACAACGACATATTTTTTATGTAGAAAATCACATCTTTGCATATTTAAGTAAATTGGGCTTTGTGTGAAGCTGGTGCATTTTATAAAGGAAGCAGAGCCGGGCGGAGTACAGCTTTGGCGATGATCAGAACGTCATGGCTCAGTCCCGTTGACTCCGATGTCCCCTGATGTGTGATGCGAAGTCAGGCTCCCGTGGACCCTCAGCCCACCCAAGCGGATGCTGATGGAGGGCCCTCTTCCTCTAGCATCTGCTCGTTCAGATGTCCCCTGTCACATCTTTGATTTGAAATTTAACATTTTTCTTTTTACACCATCACCCCCGCCTCCACCCCGGGGTTTTAAGTACCCTCATTCAGAGATCTCATAGTCTCTGAGTGTAAATCTTTTTAAGTGGTTGTGTGTTAACCAGTTGGCCAACGTGTTGGCTGGCAGTCAGAGGTGTTTTGATAGGGGAAGCAGGACTTTCACTAGAATCTGATAACTGCATTTTGCTGATCATTCTTGGCGGCTGCTGTCTGCTGGAGCAATCTCTGTGGCCTTGTGATCTAATCCAGTTCAAATTTACAAGCCCCCTGGGCATCTGGCTAAGATGCCGACGCTGATTCGGTGGCTCTGGGATGAGGCCTGAAAGTTTGCATTTCTCAGGAGCTCTTGGGTGGTGGTGGTGCTGCTGCTGCTGGTCCCAGAGCCCACATCAAAACCAGCAAAGGACCGGTCAGCCCAGGGGGCAGGTGTTCGTAGCAGGGGGTGGGAGTCGCTCTGTGCTTTTTTTGCCCTGTTTCCTTCTTTTCTCCTCTATCTTGTTTTTTGTTGTTGTTGTTGTTGCAGGACCATTTATTTGGGAAAACTCAGGCAGGTCTTTATATTTGTATGGTTCTGACAGTGTCGGTGTTTATTTTCCGTTTGGTTTTTCCAGTTAAAGTAGATACAGGTACTGTTCCGAGTGTTACCTCTGCCTTCTTGTGTTCATTGTTGTGTCTCCAATCAGGAGAATTTACCAGGACGGAATTACACTTTCTGGCAGTGGTTTGATGGTGTGATGGAAGTGTTAAAGAAACATCTCAAGCCTCATTGGAATGACGGGTGAGAATCATCATTTCTTACGTCTGCCGTAAAGTAAGAAGGTTGTCTTTCTACGGTTTAAAAAAAAAAATCACTCTCTGCTTCTGCTCCTTTGACCTTTGTGATCCAGGGCTATTTTGGGTTTCGTGAATAAGCAACAGGCCCATGATCTACTCATTAACAAGCCCGATGGGACCTTCCTGCTGAGATTCAGTGACTCTGAAATTGGCGGGATCACCATCGCTTGGAAGTTTGATTCTCGTGAGTGCCCCTCCCCTTTTACGAGGAGAGGCCAGAGGGCCCCGGTTAACTGCTTTTGTTGCAAGATCGCTTCCACATACACTTCAGTGCGTCCGTATTATTGTCTGAGGCCAGTGCTGATGATGGGAAGCACAGATGTAGACCCAGGACAGAGCCTCCGATGATACCAGAGCCTGTGTAAGACCTTGTTACGGGAAACACAAGTCCTAATTTTGAGAAACACAGACGCGTCACCCTGATGCAGCTACTTGCCATACAGTGTCCTGTCCACGTTCTCGGCTGCTTCCCTTCTGAAATGTCCACCTTCTCGTTACCCAACCTTGAGCTGAGCTGGTTTCAGTGAAAATGTACTTTAATAAGTTGGAGTCGTTCACATAGAAGTAATGTTATTTTAATTATTCCTTCATCCTAACTGACACAAGGACCTTGTCACGGGTCATTTTCATTCAAGAATGTTAGTTCTTTCCTCTGACCCTCACAAACTAGGTAACAGCGGGTTTCGAGTGTGCTTTGTGGATTACTCAACCTTGAGCTGGTTTCAGTGAAAATGTACTTCAATAAGTTGGAGTCGTTCACATAGAAGTAATGTTATTTTAATTATTCCTTCATCCTAACTGACACAAGGACCTTGTCACGGGTCATTTTCATTCAAGAATGTTAGTTCTTTCCTCTGACCCTCACAAACTAGGTAACAGCGGGTTTCGAGTGTGCTTTGTGGCTTAAAGACGTGAACAGCGTCTATAGTGCTCACGTGTCCTCTGGCCGTGGACCTGCTTCCTATCTCCCTTACACACTTCTGTGCAGGGGATCAGGGAGTCAGTACGTTTCTTCTAGAAAGGGACAGAACGTCGTTTAACTGAAGCCACCTGAGGGAGATCACGGCATCTCTAGGAAAGTGATGAATGCATCACCAGCTACCTACCCGTGGCTTTTAAAAACAGCTACTCGAGCCCTGGCTCAGTTTGTGGAGTGTCATCCTTGGGTCTGGGAGGCAACTGAGCAGATGTTTCTCTCTCACATTGATGTTTCTCTCTCCCTCCCTCCCCCTCCCCCTCCCTTTCCCTCTCTCTCTCCCTTTCCCTTCCTCTGTCTCTTAAAATTTTTTTTAAATCAATTAAACATTTAAAAATTAATTAATTATTTTTTAAAAACAGCTATTTGATCTATAACCTGTAGTTATTTTTAAATGGAGAGGTTTTTTTTGGGGGGGCGGGTACAATTTAATGGAGAGCTTTAATTTGTAGAATATTTGGGTATTAAGATTTCTTGTTCAGAAACTATGTTTAGAACATTATTATTCTGTTTATTGATCTAGAGGAAAGAATGTTTTGGAATCTGATGCCTTTTACCACCAGAGACTTCTCCATTCGGTCCCTGGCCGACCGCCTGGGGGACCTGGATTACCTTATCTACGTGTTCCCCGATCGGCCGAAAGATGAAGTATACTCCAAATATTACACACCAGTTCCATGCGAGCCTGCCACTGGTAACAATGTTCGCATTCTGACTTGGTTTTGTTGTGTTTTGGTCGTATTTTAGTTATTTGTGTGTGTGTGTGTGTGTCTGTCTTGCATGAAAACCTACACAGTTAGCCTACAGTTACTTGAGCATTATCCAGGGCAGATGGAAATCCTGGGCTGTAGTCTGCAGTCATACAGAAAACACACCTGCCACTAACCCCAAATACCAAATTGAAGGGAACAAATTGCTTTTAACACAAGCTGAAGTCAAAATTAGGAAGGTAAAATTTTGTTTTTCAAATCAGAAATGGTTTTGTTTTCTGAGCATATAAGTTTTATGTATTTATTTGTAAAATGTCCAGAAAAGGATAAAAAAAGAAAAAAGAATCCATTCATCCTCCTGCCAGTCATAAAATCTGTTCATTGGTTTCAGGTTTGGCTCTGATTGGCATAAAAATGTTATCTCAGGTTTTATTTTCATTTATTTGATTCCAGGTAAGGTCAGACACCTTTTCATATCATGATAATGACAATAATAATAAACACAACACCAGTAACAGCTAGCATTTGTTGCACGCTCACTGAGCACCGGGTCCCTTTTGGGGCACATTTTTATGTAGTATCTCATTTAATCCTCAAAAGGGGCCTGTGAAGTAGTTACTATTACTGTCCCCCTTTTACCAATGAGGAACTGAGGCACCGAGAAGTAAATAATTTGCCAAAGGCCACACAACTAGGAAGAGGCCAAGCCAGGACCTGAGCTCAGAGAGTCTAGCCTCAGAGCCTGTATTCCTTACCGTCTACATTATTGGCCATTAGTGTTTTTTCCCGTGAGGTGCGTTCATGTTCCTTGCTTATCTTTCTTTTGGAGTCCCTGTTTTTCTTAATAATGTGTGAATAGTTTTCTGTAGTAAATAAACCCTTGGTTATACATAGCAATTATTTTCCTCAGCGTGTCATTGTTCTTTTAACATTTAAGTTTTATTTTGCTGAAGTTTTATTTTACAAAGGTTTGTACTTAGGCTACAGAGCCCAACCAGTCGACCTTTTTCCTCCATGCCATGCCTTCCCACCCTAATGGGATGGCTGTATTTTTAAAAACCAGGACATTTTAGGTTTATATGATATTTTGAATTAAAATCTATCTCACTGCTTCTTTTTGTTAGCACAGCCAATCTAGATCATTACATTCTATTTTTTACAGCATTTCTTTGTGTGTGTTTTTTTAATCTTTCCTGCCAATCTATAAAACTCTCCGTAGACTGTAAAGCACAAAAAGCATGAGATGTTATGACAAGGCGGCCCCCCTGACATTGGAAGCCTAGAAGAAGCAGGTTCGGGTACCAAGCAGTTTGTGAACCATGTAGCATTTCACTGCGTGTTGCCTTCAGTGTCTAATATAGTCAGGATTACGCTTATTCCCACACTTACATTCCCAGGAAACGGGACTTCATTCGCCGACTCCAGACTCTCACACTCCTACTTCACTGGGTTTCCATGATCAGCCTTTTAAAAAGTCATAACGATGGCTGGCCAGGTCGCTTTCAGGTTTCTCCCCTAGCCGGCCACATCCCAGTGGGAATCTGTGGTGAGTGGAAGAGAGACACACACCAGCATCCTTTCAGCAGCCACCAGGCATAAACTACACTCACCAGAATGAGTGGCCATCAGGCCATCCCCCGGGGCATGGAGGAGCTTGCAGATACCTGAGTGACACTCCCTTTCCCACAGAGTAGATACTCAGAGTAAGTTCTGAGATCCTCAGGTCAAATCAGCTCCTCTCTATGGTGTAGAGTGTTCTGTGGGATCCCTGCCGATTGCATACCTCCCTAGTGAGAACCCCCAGTGATAAAGAAAACCAGTTCTTCCCGCGACATTCCCATTCCTTTTGGGGGCAGTTCTATGTATGACATTCTTCCACATCTGACGGAGACGTTGCCGTCTTCTGACCTCCTCCTGTTGGTCCTAATGTTGTCCCCGGGGACACAGAGCAAGGCCTGTCCCTCCGCCGCGTCTGCGACTATAAACTCTTCAAAGATATTTTTTCCTTTCACAGTTAGTATGCAGTTAATGCTGGGTTTCGATTTGTATTGAAGTACATGCTTTCTGTGTCTGAAGAATGGATAAGCAATGCAAGCCAACTTGGAATATCTCTTCACTGGCAGCATTAGGATTGAGGCTTCCCTCTGCCAGGCCGTCCTGCCAGGTTGAAGTGTTAGGTGCTGGTGTCAGATCCTAAGATAAAATCAGGTGGTTGTGTCCTATCCTAAGAAAAGATGTGATTCATAAGGGAGATTTCACTTTTATTTCGTTGGAGAACTTTGGTTCTCATCACCGTTCCCCCCTCGGCAGCTAAAGCCGTGGACGGATACGTGAAGCCACAGATCAAGCAAGTGGTCCCTGAGTAAGTGTCTGGGGTCCAGCTCTGGTCTCCTGCTGCCTCTGTTCCCCCGCCCCTGCCCCCCCCTACCCCTAAAACCTGGCTCAGCCCTGGGGAGGGAACCGGGCTTGGTCACCATGGGCCAGTGCCCAGGGCCCCCTCCTGCACTTTGTCCTTCTGCACCTGAGAGAGACAGAAAGATGCCCCTGAGCCCCTCCCCTGTCAGCGCTGCCCTGAGGCCGCTGAGGCTCTGCTCTGCTTCCTCCTCCAGGTTTGTGACGTCTGCAGACTCTGCTGGGGGCAGTGCCACCTACATGGACCAGGCCCCCTCCCCGGCTGTGTGTCCCCAGGCTCATTACAACATGTACCCACAGAAGTAGGTTGTGTTCTTACAGGGCTTCATGGGGGGCTGGGCCTGGGCCTGGGCACTTGGCCTTGGGCTGCTGACCGGGCGGGGTGCAGGGCCTGGGATGGTCTCTGCTCCTCGTCATTGGTCTCTGACAAGCGCTCCCTCCCCCTTCATCTCTTCTCTTTCCCTCCCAAGCCCTGACCCCGCCCTTGACCCCGACGGGGACTTCGATCTGGACGACACGATGGACGTGGCGCGCCGTGTGGAGGAACTCTTGGGCCGACCTATGGACACTCAGTGGATCCCTCATGCGCAGTCATGACCTCCATCGCCTCCGTCAGCTTCTTGGTCCTCGCGAGAGGAGTTCCTCTTGTGGATGTTTTAATTCCATGAATCGCTTCTCTTTGGAAACAATACTCATAATGTGAAGTGTTAATGCTAGTTGTGACTTTAGTGTTTCTGTGCATGGTGACCCCAGTGCAGGGAGTGTGTGTGTGTGTGTGTGTGTGTGTGTGTGTGTGTGAGTTTGTCCGTGTGGTGTTCCTCCCCCTTGCTGTCCAGACAGAGGCTGTGGTTGTTTGAACCTTGTGCACAAAGGCAGTTGGCTCCACGAGCCCTGGCACATGGCCGTGTGTCTTGAGGGTGGCTGGACTTTGACGTGTGGCTGTTCAAGTAAGAAGGACGCAGGGAGGAGAAAGCACCTCCTCTCTGGTGAGTCTTTGTCACTGTGTTTGCCAGGCAATTGTGCTATAACCATGATTGTCTCTGCTTTTCTTCTGCAATGTGGAAACCGCCTCCTGACAAAGAATGCCAGTCCTCCCCCCAGTCCCCCACCCCATTTTCCCGAGTAGGGATGGGGAAAGGGGCAACTTAGGAGGATTGTGGGGGCAAGGGGAGCCAGGGGTCTTCGGATGGGTCGTGGCTTTTATAAATAACACGTAACCCGTCTTCGTGTTTTCTCCGTCCCTCCTGCCCTCCCTGGCTGTGTCCCTCTCTCCTCCTCTCACTCAGTCCCTCTGTGTGCACACACGTGCAGATGAACTAGAGGGCAGAAGAGAGGGTCACGCCACCGAAGCTTACAGTGTTGGTGTCCTTTGTGTCGCGGCCAGAGTGGAACGCCCAGCCCTGACCCGCAGGCGCCGAGAACGTCGCCTCGTCGCCCAGGGAAGCTGCCGTCCCATCTGCCCGTCCTTCCTCCGCGCTGGGAGGCTGACCGATGCCAGCTCTTCGCAAATGTCGGACGGTGTTTTTGCTTCTAACTTGGGACTTCTTGTTTTCCCCTCCCCACCCTCATCTGACAGCGAAGTTCTCTCTTCCTGTGTCAGGTCCTGTGCCATTCCTACCCAGGTCACCCCATTTCCCTTCACTGATCGTGCGCGATGTCTCGGGGAGCGGGTGGCAGGAGTGCGGTCCGAACCCAGGGCCAGCGTGTCTAGCAGGTGTTGTTGCCCACCTGGTGCAGGGTGCTGGGTGTCAGGCAGTGGGGGTTTGGGGAAGTGCAGTCAGCAGGTTTGCGGGAAGTTTGGTAAGCTGCAGAAACAAAAAGCCTCAAGCATAATTTCGTCCGTAGTTTCTTCCGTGGCTCCACACCAGAAGGAAGGAATGGGCTGTGGCAGGCAGGTGGGAAGAGAGGGGAACAGGCATAGTTTTCAGGTTAGGCCTATAAGGTCGCCCCCAGCCCCCTCTCCGAAAGGATATGACTAGGCCCAAGAAATAATGGCCCTAAAAACCGTATTTTTATATGTGTGAGTAAATAAACATATTTTTTTTACAAAAACTAACTTCTGAACTTATCAGTGTTTTGATGTTAAAGGAACATATTTCTCTGTAGTAAATTATTTATTGGAAAATGACTTTTTAAAAGCTGCTGTTTGCGCTGGCTTGGTTTCATACACTGATTTATTTTTCTATGCCAGGCAGTAGACTCTCTCTGCCTCTGAGGCGCAGGCCGACCCCTCCATGGATACCAGCGTTGATGTAGGATGCTGCTAAGCCCCTTGCGTACCCCTCAGGGTTCAATTAAAATTCCCCTGGTGAGGACGGGAGTGTTGGGGAAAGGTGTAGGGAAGCCTGACCCGGTCTCAAAGAGCCCTCACCTGCCTGTCACTCCGGCTTCACCAACACCTGCCTCAAGAGAGATGCCCTCATTGTCCCAGCGGGGGGACGAGG